ATATTAAAACCTTAAATCAGGAKAAAATGTCTGAAAATTACAAGTTAAATATGTTTTCATGTTATTTAGTAAGTAAACTAATTTTAACATAGTTCTTATTTATACAAACTTCAGTTAATTTAAATAATTGCTTAGTGAAGTTCATAAGGAAAATTTGATGTGTAAGGTATTTTTGTGTKTGTAAGGTATTTGTAAAAAAAAATTCATCTTTCAAACTTCTTTTGAGAATGGAAGATTGTGAAGTTCTTATGAAAAAATGTAGCCCTGATTCATCAATTGTCTAACAAAATTATGATAAATATCATAAATAATGACATCCTAAAGTGCTGTGGAGGGATAAATATGGCAAATAATAATCATAATTAAAATATGAAGAATTCGTAGGATTGAGAAATACACACTCCTATTTAATTTTTTTTTTTTAGTTAAACTATTACTTTAGGATAAACCAGAAGAGAGACAAGAAAGGAGGTCACAAAAGGGTGTAGGAGGTATTGAGGAGTGAAGCTGATCAAATTATATTTTTATATATGTACTAATATGCCACAGTGAAACCCATAATTTTGTATAATTAATATGCACCAAAATATCATATATTGATCTGCAAAAAATAACTTTGAATTTTAAATAAATAACTGGATAACAATTTGAAAGTAATAAAGCTTATGTCAGTCATTCACAACCTACAAGGTTAACGGAATGTTCCAGAAATTCTCTTTAGGGATATAGCTGGTAGTATGTTCAAAAAGAACAAGAACAACTCAAAGACTTAAAAGGACAAGGCTTATTTATTATGAGACCACGTGGCATTTCTCAACTCCCACTATGTCTAAATGGGAGACAAGCTGGGGCCCAGGAAACATTCTTGGACCTGGAGCTTGGAACTAGGTTGTTTAATTTTTTGCCATTGAACAAATTATGGGTTTCAACTCTCTCTTGAGGGAAACGTAAAATGAGACCTCTATGCTACATGACCTTCAAGATGGCCCTAAGAGCTGGCTAACATTCCACCTGTTTCAAAAATGTGTCCAGCATCTCATGATACTTCCACGAGTGTCTAGACACTATCTAAAGCTTCTTCTTTCAGAATGATGGTACAAATGGTACAAGGTTCATAGTCTTAATCGAGAAAGTAGGATTTGCCCAGTTCCACAGGTTTAAAGGTGGGTGATCTTGAGTATGTTTATGAAGATTGCACCCATGAGGTTGCTGATGTCTTCCCACATGTTTAGACTCTCACCAGGCTCACTGATAATGTATCTTCACAAGCTACCCAGTGAGGTTGTCCATGGAGAACTTTCCATGGGGACCCATTCTTTTGTGTTAAATTTTTTTCACCAATGGAAAGAGGCATATTGGTTGGCAAACTGCTTGACCACCTCCCTGTGTCAAGGTGTAAAGCAGCAGCCATGTCTCTTTCAGCAGCACACTTAGCGGCAGATGGCACTAGAAAAGGAGGCCACACCATGACACGAAACTAGGTCGGAATGCTGGGAAAGTAGGGTCCAAGTGTTACTCTGGAYGTTTCAATGGACTCTTTATTGTTTGTTTTTCCAAAATTGTCCTCCTGTATCGTGACGACCCTCGCTATTCCTTCCACAGGAAGTTTCTTAGCCTGCAGATACATTCTTTATAAATTTCATAGGCTAAAAATTCACTTGTGTGGCATATCACCCATTGTCATAACTACTAATGCATACCCAGAGGCAAATTTTTACTTATTTTTGAGAAGGTGGTGTTCCAGAACTTATTTGATTAATGATTGATAAAGTAATTAGAAATTCCAAGATATTGATAGACATGTTAGTAGAATTGGGGAAAATGCATAATCTTCACTTTGGAMAGTTTTTAAGGTAACTTTTTTTGTGTGAAACATGAAGTATTACAGGCCTAAAGCTCACCCCCATTGAATATTGCCTGCTGATTGTGCTGTTATGATGGTCAAATCTGGACTATGTTATAAGAATATAATCACTGTAGCTTGTTTTCACTATAGCAATAAAGGCTGGCTTTTGTAAAGGTTCCARTAATCAAGGGAGTAAGGTACTCATGCTTTTTTACAAAGTTTTCTGAGGTATTGACCAAAGACTGGGGCTAGACGTCAACCTTTAGGAAGTATTTTTACTATCTACTATAAAGATACCACATGCAATAAACTGGATCAGTAGAAAGCACTACTAACAGTGTTAAGTTGTTTATCAGTCCATTGTGTCTATGTTGGACAGAAGATATAATAAGTGACTGGCCATTTTATTGGTGATAAATGATTTTCAAACATAAATGCCTGATGAAGACACAGAAGAATTATACAAGATACCAGGACTAGTACTTTAGATACTGTTTGGTGAAASAGGTGTGGCTTAGTTTTAATAAATAGATTTCACTTTATTTTACATGCTCTATCAAACAGCATCTTCCCTAATATATAGTAAATATATATTTCGTATWTTGTCAAATTCAAATTGTAGCAGTGGTCAAAACATTGATTCATAAATATTTCCAACCTGCATAAATAAATTAGCTCTGAGTGCCTATCGTTTGTTCAATAAGTAAGTGAAAGATCTGTTTTATTCTCCCCTTTCCCCAGAATAATGAGCCATTGGGTCAAGGTCATTTTGTTCTATTCTGCATTTTAAATAGAATGTCATGTGTTGGCCATGTGTACTTTATAATCAGAAGGGGAAAAAAAAAAACTAGGAACATAAAAACAAATCCCCTCATCTAATCCTTCTGTGAACGGTGTAGGTATGCTTCTAGTCTTTCTGAGCCATTAGAAGAGACTTCACTATGTACCCTGGATTCCTTCATCATTGGTCTCTTCCAACCACCGTGTAAAAATGGCGCCAACTTCACTCATCTGTACAGATCTGGGAGAAACCCCAACTGAGTCACTTTCAGAAGAAGCCCAAAGATGTCTTTGGTTCATAGCAATCCCTCTCTTGTAACAAAAAGCCGCATGTATATTAAAGATACAGTATCTAAAGGGAGAAAGACCTTGAAAAGTTCAGTGGCATCTTCAATCACAAATGTATGAGGAGCTCAGTGGAATTGAGCACATGTCCACGGGCATTCTGTCACTGCAGTGGAACTGATTCTATGAAAGTCCAAGAGACCAGTACAAGCATCTTGCCATCTTTGGTTTTGTAGACGATTTATCGGCTTGTCATTTTTATTTCAATGACAGTGCCTTACATCAAGTGTATTAGGTTACTGTAAATTCTCTCTCTCTCCATAGCAGTTTTGACTTCGCTGTAATTGTAAATATACTTTGAGGAGGATGCTAGAATAAAGCTCTAAAAAGGTATTGTGAGGAATTTTATAGCATTATTCTCATTGTGATGAGATTGTGCTAAAGATTTGGGAAGCCAATTTCTCTTTCACATACTCTTTTGGTGATATTATTTTCAGAAAAAAATGGCCCAAGGTTGTGCCTGATCTTTGGTGCCTTTTACTTAACACTTACTGGCAACGATCAGAACCAAACTGTGTTCCTGAAGGAACTTCATGCCGATGTTTGTCTCCCACCAAAGAGACACAAGAGCAGACTCGTGTAATTAGCAGAATCCCCCTGGACTCGCTGTCTGTGCTTCTGGCACATTAATAAAGCTGAGATATGAACCACGACCCCTGAGGGCCTTTCCCCATAAGTCCCTTGTAGAAACTTGTGGTTGTCTGAGCAACAGCTCGACTGAGTGAGCCGGCCAGAGCCCCTGTGTGTTGGCCGCACTAGGAACTGTGCTGAAGTGGTCTCAGCTGGGAGCTGCTCTGGTGGATTTGACCAACCGGCATATCTAAGGCAAATGCCATGTGCTAAAGAAATTCAGAGATGTTAACCCCGAAGGCTGGAATTCCAGGAAGGCCGTATCCTTGAAAGAAACCGGTCCTCTGCTCCTCTGCTGTATCAGCAAAATTCGCAGTGCGGGGTGTTTGGGTAATATTTTTCTCTCCCTGAAAGCGTAATGCAATTATTTTTTGCAGCCACATTAACTCTTATGATTAGCATCTTGATGGGGTTTTCATACCTAGTGACTGATTCAGAAGCTAGGTAGTTGCGTAAGTGCACGTTGATCAAGGAGGAATGAAGACCATTTTTACTCAGTAGTGATTCATTGAAATGAATTGCCAATCAGCTCTTAAGCTATGTTTAGGGATAAAAAAGATTCTAGCAGAGATTAGCAAAAATGTACCCTTTCTATATAGATAAACCTCAATAGTTTAACATATTTTACTATTAAGAAAAATAATCAAGTTTTCATCTTGCCTAATTGGACTTGCCAGTTTTTTAAACCCACCCTGGAGTCCTTGAGAGATAACCCTCTTAGARACATGGCGTCAGATGACTCGGGCAGAATAATTGCTCTTTTTATTTTAAGACTCAGGACAGATATACCAGTGTCGATCTGAATTAGCCAAACTTCCTCAATTCACACAAAAACCGCCACTTTCCTTTAAACCTTACAGGTCTGTTTAATGCAGGGCTTAAACATTTATATGTGATCCACTTTCTCTTATAATCCCAGACAAAACCTTGTCCAGCCCAAGAAAAAACAAAGMCCAGTCAGTGCTGGTCACACAATAAGTTACAAGCCCCCAGGGCTGTGGATCATCATCTACAGAATTTTAGATCTCAGTATCTGCCATCCAGGACCTGTTGTACTCTTGACCACAAAACAGCTGAGTTCTTTTTAAGTGTTTTTGTTTCTTTCTCGAACAGTTTCTCAYGTGGAGACTCCTGGTCCTCTGAGGGTAAATGGAAGCTGGTCAGTGGTCACACCGACTCTTCCTCGCATGGCTCAGGTGGACAGCAGAGGGGAGAAACCTCGAGAACAGCAAGGCCACAGGGACCAGACGGCGAGACACCGCRAGGGGTGGGGCAGCTGGGCTGGTTCTGCTGCTTCCAAAGCATTTATACCTGCCTTCCTTCCACATTTATACCTGCCTGTCTCACAGGAGCAGACGGGACTACTTGAAGACTGTTGCTAAGRAGAAGCTGTGTTTAAACAGCACTATTTTAGAAATAGCTATTCAATATAACGATCTGAGTTTTAATGCAACGAATCGTAGTTTTCAACAATTTAAGTGAGCATATCCTGTCACCCTCGGCATGTTGGATATGTACTTGTGGTAGATAGATGGATACAGTGATATCCATATCTATAGTTGTCTACACACACACACACACACACACACACACACACACACACGAGCTACAGGGCCCTGCTCAAGAGAGAGTGCTCTAATTTCACCTTCCCTTATTGTCATTGGTCTTAGTTCTGTGTTAACTTAGAGTTAAGATGCCATTTGTGGAGCTCACTGGATTTGTCCCTGTCACAGAGCTCGGAGTGGGTCATGGCTATGTCCAAGGACAGACCCTGTGCTCAGACAGGAGGACTGAATCAGGCACTGGAGGGGCCCGTTCCCAGGCACAGCCCAGTGCGGGTGCTGTCCCCCAGGGACCAGGCTTCTGCTACTGTCAGACCCAAAGAATTTTGCTTAAATGACTGTTCATACGATTTGGATTCTATTTTTGTAAAACACAGATTCCCCCATAGAAATTCAATAAATAAAGGACTTAACCGCTGAATCAAGGAAGCGAACTCCAGTTTTTAACCTTCCCATGGGATTGGGCGAGACCTGGCCCGCGTCAATTGGTACTGCAGGTGGTCTTCCAGGAGGTGGAGGGCGCAGGGACCCTCAGGCAGGTCCAGGGCAGACTGTCACCGTGGCCGCTGGGTGTCATTGGATGAGGCTGGCGCTGTAGCTGAAGCCGTAGCTGCTGGACCGCGACAAGGGCTGCTGGGTCTCCTCGCTCTGTTCAGGGGCATAGCTGGGAAACGTCTGGGCACGCGACATCTTGGAGGCACCGAAGCCATGACCTAGAAGGCAGGAAAGGAGAGCTGCGCTGAGAAGCAAATTCAGCAGAGCAAGGGATACTGCAAAAGCCAACTCACACAGCGGAACTGAGCTAGCCTTGCGGAAGCTGGTGAGAGTCTGGAGACCTCTGCGTCTCCATCTTTCATGAGTTAAAAGTCTTGTAGTCAGGGATCAGGGTTTCCCCAGGGGCATCCCTCTGAGAGTTCTGGATGCCAGAGAACTAGGTASGTTCTGTAGGGATCTCAAACTTCTGTCCATTAACTTTTGAAAGAAAAGCGGGAAAGCTTTTCCCCCCAAGGTTGCTTTTGATGGAGAGCCTGTTAGGGGTTTTCTTTTCTTTTAGGCTCTCTTCTCACATACAAAAGCCAATTGCACACTTTCTTAAAACCCTCTGCGAGCAAGCAAACTACACTCAGTCTTAAGCAACCATCAATGACCAAGGAGAAAGCGTTTAAATGACAGAGTTGGGGGCTCTGGTTTATTTTGGTTGGTTTGTCCCTGTCACTGAAGCCATTCCATGACGTGGTTCACCAAAATGGTAAGCCTTGATGGTCACTACGATGGCCTAACACTTGGATCTTATGCAAGATATATTTAAAAAGGCTCGGACTGTTCAGAGGTAGCTTTGTGATGAGAACATGTCAACTGCAAACCCAAATGAAAGTGGTCCCTGAAAACGTGTCACAAGGTCAAAATGGGTGGAGAGAGTGTGCATGCGGAAGTTCCCAGGCTCTTCCCAGTAGCTGCCTCATCCTTTCTGAGCCAGTCATTATTCTTCATGCTTGAGGATGATTTGTGCTACTGGAAACATTGATCTAGCAAGGCAGAGTTTAGATGATACTCAAAGGAAGAGGTGTTTTCTGTTTGATATGTATGTTCTCCGATCTCCAGAGTGAGCAATGCAGAGAAGACAATCTGTTCGCTCAGGAACATGGAATGTCTCATTGTGGATTCAGTGTCTCTGTCCTCTGCAATGTCATAGGCTTGAAGCCATTGTCATGTGTGTTTGATGCCTCAAAAAATACCCTTGCTGCATGGGGAACTTGGGATTCAGGGAGGACACCAAGGGAACTGGGTAACAAAGGGCTAATTAAAACTGGTAGAAAGAACAGGCTAAATGTTAACGTTGTGAGAGAGAGAACTCTCCTTCTGGATAAAAACATTTTAGCTTCACTGTTTGCTGACCCTCTTGCTGACCCTCTGGCTGACTGAGCAGGGAAATCACAACAGACAGTCACTGGCAGAWCTGGGGGAGGAGAGCGTGGGGGCAGTTCCTCCTTCCCCTCCTGGCCCACACCTCCTGCAGTGCCTTCTSAGCTTCCAGTACCTTCTGCCTCTTCAGCTCCAGTACTTCCTCTCTGTCTCCTAGGGTCCTGACGCCCTTTTTCCTCCCCGGGGCCTTCGGGTCTGATGGTGGCCAGGCCTCCCACTGTGAGTCCCTCACAATTCCCCAGGTTTCCTGGACTTTGCCCACAGTTCTCCAAAAGTCCCTTCTTAAACTCTCTTAGCATCTCCACTGAGTGTGTGTTCCCTCTCCTGCAGGACCTGGGGCCACAGTGAAGGAAGAACAGCAGGGCAGGGGTGGACAGGGCAGGGGTGGACAGGGCGAGAGAGGGCCTGGAGGGCTGGTAAGGGAAGCTTTAGGGGTGTGAGGGCTGGCGTGGGGACAGATTAGACCAGGAGAAGGCAGGTCAGGATCTCTGGGGCTTTGACACCAGGCACCTGTGGGGCCTCTTGTACTGTGTGGCTGGCAGCTGACTTGAAGGTACTCACTTCTCTTTGGGTTTCTCAGTTTCCTTATCTGCAAATTCCCGATGCTCATAAAGCCACTTAGTTTGTGTGACCTTTAGACTATTAAACGGGTGAGTTGATCCATGCTAAGGACTGCCATTCTGCTGAGGGGATCCAACAGCATGGTGTCTCCAAACTGCCCTCCAGGGCAGCTGGGGAAGGCCTCTCTCAGGAAGTGGCATSTGGCATGACTTTCTATGGCCAAGTTCTGATACACTGATCTGACAGGGGAAGAGGCATCAAAATTTTAGTGATTTTATCCCCAGATCTTAACATGTATATTCATAACCAGTGATATTCCATAGTTTCTCTAAGTGGGAATACTGGTATTTATCAGCCTTAAGCAGCTAGACAGTATGATATTAAAATTAYATCCCTGGCCTGGGTTATTAATTTATTTATTCTTATTCCTGTTATTTTTAAAGTTTTAAAAATATCTTTAACTCATATTACTTTGTGGGCTGAAAGCTTAAAATTTAATTCGATAATTCACTTCACCTACGAACACATTTTTTTATCCTAGAATGTTGAGACTCACAGGTGCATCAAGCAACTAACAATCAGCAATCATGGACACTCATAGCACGGGACCCTGTGGGAAAGGGCCCCTGTGGAGAGAAGGCGCCTGCCTCTCTGATTGACAGGCTGCTGGAGAATGAGGGTCAGACCAACAGCAGCAGAGGGCACCAAACCAGGAGTCCACAGGGCCTCGCTGGCGATTCCCAGGAGGAAGCTGGCGGAGCTTACGGGACCTGCGTCCCAGAACCACTCAGGTCACGAGGACAGCCAGAAGGACTTCCTTCCTCAGAGTGCACCCTTCCCCACCACTGCCCACGCAGCCTGAGTCCTGCTGGGCGGCTCTGGGCCTCGAGGTCCTGATGGGAAGAGCACCCTCTCCAGAGCAGACCCACGGCRCTGCAGGAAGACCCGGGGCAGCAGGGCTGCAGCCAAAGTTGGTTCTCCTCCTCCTCCTCCTCCCGAAGGGTGGGCCCATCTTCCTGTCACCCCTTCTSCCCCCCTAGTATGCCCCCCACCCCCTGCCGGCTTCCTCCACCATCTCCCTGTGCTGTCTCTCACCGGTGTCTTTCAAATGTCATTCTGTCTCAAGGTCAACCTTGTCTTCTTCACCTCTTCTGTGAGTCATTTCTAGTCTAATTGGAAATGAATTCATGATTTTTCTTTCTTCAACTGTTTATTTACAGACAACTTACAAATCATGCTATTTAATGCTTATCACAAAAACAACACACCTCAATCAGAGCACAATACATAAAGGCTTTACAAATGCTGTTTGATTTTGGCAGAGTAAGTGTGCGAACCAAAGAGAGAAATAATTAAGCATTTTCTCAACATTCATTTGAATTCTGCCCTGAGGCACTATTGATGAAAGCGAAACAAAAATCCACTCCCAGGCTGAAATCAACAACCTGAGGAAACAACTTTGTTCATCTGTGATGCCGAGATAGCGCAAGCGCTTCCTGAACTTTCCTCTCCAGTCCCCCTTAAAGACAAATGGTTGAATCTGGACCCGGGAATCTGAGGGCAGAAAATTTGTGATGGGTGTTCTGTTTCTTAATAAGGGCTAATTTCCAATGCTGTTTTTATCAAAATGATCAGAAGTATTTAGCCAACCACRAATGACATTTGTTAACAATCATGACTCTATTTTAAAAGTCCTCTTGAATTTTGATTTTGATTCCATTGTGTATTCATGTTTGTTTTAATAGAAAATAACATTCTCTACTATATTTTCAGGTAATGTTGACAAAGTGGGAAAAAAAAMCCAAACCCACAATGTCTTTACCTGGTGGTTTCAAGTACACTTTGAAACATACCCCAGCCTGCCAGCTTCTCCCTGTGGTATGTACGCAGACCCCAGAAACATAGTCCCATTCCATAAATAAGGAAATCTACTGGACACAGAGACTTTTGAAACATTCGCTTTATTGTAATAGAATTATAGGAAATCACCCCAACCCAATTCTGAGAACTCAAGAGGGTCACACAAGAAGGGCAAAACCACCCAGCCTCAGAGGAGGGAAGGTTCCCTGCTGTGCTGTAAAGCATCCAAACTGGTAATGCGATTGGAGAGTTGCAAATGTGGTAGAAAAGAGCAGCTGAATGGGAAGGCAAGACCAGCAGTTCCCACTCTGCACTGAGAAAACAATCAGGCCAACCCATGACACTGTCTCCCTCCTGAGGAGTAGGGAGGTCCTTGGCCGTACAGAGGCCTCCTCCCTGAGCAGGGCATTCTGGTGGGTTCTGGTTTTTCTACTCTTTCTTCACGTGTCATCTAAGGAAAATACTCTTTGTAGGAAGTCAGAGGATCCAAGGCATAAAACATGTGGCCATAATTGGTAAAGGCAGTGGGCCRAATAGGGATGCTGCATGACTCTCTGTGTGTCTTATTAATTTGCTAGGTCTGGGGATGATGAAAGGGTGAAAATGAAAACACCAAGTGCAAAATAAACAGATAACGACGTTCTCTGGAAGGAAGGGAAGTKCCAGGAGTGGGAGCGCTGGCCGCCACTGGTCCTGGAGGGTGACAGCAAAGACTAGCTTCCCTCTTGACCAAGAGCTCTGGCCGCCAGCAGGACCGGAGCAGGCCGACTGCAGACCAGGCCTGGACAGGGAGGAGGAGGCAGAAGGAAGGTCTCTGGGGTTCTTGCTGTAGTGAGTTGGGGGCAGTGTGGTGTCCATGGAGCACTGAGCACTTTCATACTGACCTTGCAGCTTGGGGAAAGCTGAAGTGAGACCAGGGGTAGCAGCAGTGCAGGGCTGGCCACAGTGTCTGAGCAATGACTTTCCCCGTATYAATTACATGTAGAAATGCCAGGCACACTGCCCGCATCCCTTCTGTAACTGTATTTGAATTTTACTCAGTTTTTTCAAGTTCTAACTCCTGCTAGACTCTGTTTTCCTTGGGTCATGGTGCTCTCCTCACATGCTTCTGAACTCCCCTGGGGATTCTAGAGGTCAGTGGTTCTGTGACCTTGAATACAAAGGTATCCAGGTTCATTTCAGCACACTGGAACCCAAGAGGAGCTTGGGTTCAATCTATACGGGGAATGATTTGTAAGAGTCACCGGCTTCAATCTATACGGGGAATGATTTGTAAGAGTCACAATATCACAACCACTATTCACTGAGCACATATTTTGGTCTAGATCCTGTGCCAGGTACCTTAGAAATATTATCTTCAAAAATCACC